TCTGCTAATAATGAGTTCCATCTGATCCAGGACCTCATGGAGGAAGAGAATGACCTGGCCTGTATCACGGGGACCTGGGTGGGCGGTCTGAGAAGGGTGGCCCTCTCTCAGATGTGCCCCCCCAGGTTATACTGTACAGCATCAGGGCAGATTGGAGGGGAGGGGTGACAATAGAGACTCTATATATGCCAGTAGTACCACCTTGCTTTCGAGCCGGGGCCTAGAGTGTTTGCACCTTACTCTGGGGCATAGAGGTAGATCTGGAGTGGTGCTGGTGTGCCGTTCTCCCCGTGACCCAGCAATAACCATGCATGGGCTGGCTGAGTTCACTGTGGCCGCGATGTTGAAGTCACCCAGACTATTGATAGCCGGGGTCTTCAACATTCATGCAAAATTAGAACTATTTGGCCTGGCCATGGAGTTAATGGGTGCCATAACAGTCATGTACCTATCTCAACATGTCATCTGCCCTACACATTCAGCTGGCCACACTCTGGACCTGGTGTTCTTGACCACAAAGGTGGATAGTTATCTAAAGGTAGACACTGTGAATTGCCACCCTCTGTCATGGACAGTTCACTTCCCATTGAGATTCAACCTGTCTATCGCGACCCCCCATGGGGAGAACGGTCGGGCAGAAGCCCTCCCAGAATGGTTCCAAGAGACTCTGTGAGGGCTTCTGGCCGACCTGATAGATGACCTTGTTGAAGTCCAGGTCAATAGATGGTATCTGGAGACGACCCAGGCAGCTGACATGATTGCCCCCAAATGCCCTCTTCACTCCAGAGCTTGCACTGTTCATTATTATACTGAGGGACTGTGAGCTATTAAGTTATCGAGATGGCTAGAGAGCAGGCAGAGAAGAGATCAGTCAGCACAAAGCAGGACTACATTCAAAACTATGGCCAATAATGCCATTAAACAGGCAAGAAAGACTTTTAACATCCAGAGGATTGGTGAGGCTGCGAACCAAAAAGTGGAATTGTTCCAGGTGGTCCATGACCTTCCCAGTTCTGGCCATTCAAGGCCTTGTTTTGAGTTCACCAGTGATCAGTTTGCAGCCTTTTAAAGAACAATATTTATTTATTAAATTTATACCCCGCCCATTTAGACCCAAGTCTACTCTGGGTGGCTAACAATAAAAAATGGCATAAAAGCGATAAAATAAAATAGAGAACAACAATAGTAATATCGTTCAAGATGGGGCCATTCGTGCCGATCTTGACTCCACCAGCAGTTTAACTGATCCAGGGGTGACCATTGCTGCCCCATTTCCCAGTTGGTTCAGTCTGACCCTGTAGTAAAGGAGGAAGCGTCCAGGGTGATGGCCCACCACCTCCTCGCTGGACTCTTGCCCAGCATGGCTGATCAGAGCCATGAAGGGGGCCATGATTGATTGGGTTATGAACATTATTAACTCATCACTGAGTAAATGCTTCCCTCCCACTTAAAAGAATAGTCCGACCCATCATCAAATGTCCCCAGTTAGTGTTGGAGAACCTTAACAATTTCTGTCCAATTGCTAAATATCCATTCCTGGGCAAAGTGACTGAGAAAGTGGTGGCGAATCAGCTGCAGTCATACTTGGAGGAGCAGGTTTGCCTTGATTCATCCCAGTCTGGATTCAGGCCAGGACAGGGTACTGAGACATCACTGGTCGCGCTGCAGGATGACCTTTTAAGGCAGTGGTCAGAGAACAGGGGTAAATTGCCCCAAATGGGGTAAAAATGAAAATCCTGGGGGTAATGAGGACAGTCGCGGCAGGCATTTTACCCCCAGACATTTTATTTCCGACAATGCTGTGTGTAGGTGGGCATTCCATCACAGAGACAGCGAGCCCTGGCGAGGAACTGCACAGGGCACCCAGTTGTCCTCTTCGCCTCCAAAGTGAGGGGGAGGGTGGCGTACCAGGCCAGCTGGACTCTTTGCCCGGCAGAGCCCTAGCCAGGGCTCTCCTTCCTGTCCGCACCCATCTGCCCAGTGCACTGGTGAGGAGGCCCCCTTCCCACCCTGCCTCACCTGAGCTCATGGCCAGTGGACCTGCCGGACCTGCGGCGCCCGCCTCCCCTCGCCAAGGACGCAGTTTCCCAGCAGTGTGGCAGCTCCAGACTGGCTGCCTGGAAGGTGGCCACAGGTCCTGGGCGAGCGCAGAGGCGGGGAAGGGGTCGGCCACAGACGGCAAGAGCTGGGAGGGGGGATATGTCAACGTAAATAAAATTTTTTGGGGGGGGAAGGTAAAAAAGTTCCCTGACCCCTGTTGTAAGGGAAGCTGACGGGGCAGATTCACCCTGTTGGTACTCCTAGATCTCTTAGCAGCTTCTGATACCGTTGACCACAGTATACTCCTGGACAGTGTCCCTGAGGTTGGGATTAGGAGCTTACCATTGAGCTCGCTCTGATCCTTCCTCGAGGACTGTGTCCAGAGAGTTTGGCTAGGGCAGGTGATGTTGGCATCCTGGGCTATTCAATGTGGTGTTCCTCAGGGATTGGCACTATCCCCAATACTGTTTAAGCCATTGGGGGAGGTCATCAGAAGTTTTGGAGTAAGGTGTTATACTATGCTGATGACATGCAACTCTATCTCTCCATTACCACCTCTGCAATGGATGCCATTTGGATGCTGGAGCATTGCTTGGTTGCAATACTGGAATGGACAAGGGCTAACAGGCTCAAACTGAACCAGGACAAAACAGAGATTTTGCTGCTGGGAGGGAACCTCTGATAGGTTGGGGGGATGGTCCAAGTTTAGAGACCAAGTGTGTAATTTGGGGACTCTTCTGGACCTGGCTCTTTCTTGGGAGTCCCAGATTGCAGCCATGTCCAGATCAGCCTTTAACCAGCTTAGGCTAAATGCCCAACTTTGCACCTACCTAGATGAGGACTCCCTCAGGACTTTGGTGCAGGCCCGGGTCATCTCCTGGATTGACTACTGCAATGCCCTTTATGTGGGGCTCGCCTTGAACCTGATCCAGAGACTTCAGTGGGTCCAGAATACGGCAGCCAGACTGGTGGTTGGTGCAAGCAAAATTGACCACATCACTCCAGTTTTGGCTCGCCTCCACTGGTTCAAGGTTCTGACACTCACATACAAAGCTTTCCACAGTTCGGGCCCATATTACTTGTAAGAGCATCTCTCTTTAATGTCATCTGTCTGACCCACTAGATCATCCCAGTCGAGGCTCCTCTGCGTGGCTCATATATCCTCTACAAGAGACAGGCCCTTCTTTGTGTTGGCTCCAACTATGTGGAACCAGCTTCCAGAGGAGCTCTGGCTAGCCCCCTTCCTGAGGACTTTCAGGAAGCAATTAAAGACACTGCTTTTCAGGGAGGCTTTCTACATTAACCCCAGCTGACCACTTTCTTCATCGTCTTTTCTCTCCCTTCCTCTTCTTCCCTACCCTCTTTTCTTCTATCTGCTTTGAAATTAGTCGATGCTATCTGTTTTTTTTTAGGGTTATTGTTATCAGTTTTAATATTTCTGTTTTCATTTTCCCCCTATTTTAAGAGTTGTAACCTGCCAAGAGTAGTGCTGTGACACTAATGGCAGCGGGATACAAACTGAACGAACGGACAAACAAACAAATGATAGTGGGAACAACACTTGCTGAATGCACAAGTGTTGGAAATGGTGCTTAGGTAGCCATATGTGAATGATAACCAAAATCAAGACAAAGAGTGGAGCAGAAAGATAAGCCTGTATTCTCTCATAACATGAGTGTGGAAGCCAACAGTATCAAGGAGGGGAAAAAAAGCTTATTTTTAAAGAGCGTCAAATCCTTGATTATTACCTCATATCATCTCTAAATACACAAGACACTGTCACTGGATGGCATGGCTTAATCACTTATTTCATTGTTCCCATGCTAAAAAGGAATCTTTTTATATCTATATTTATAGACGTTTTGCTTCACATCATGGGACTCGATAAGCTACTCATTCAAGTATCTCAGAAGAAGTTTAGCATGAATACAAAAATGACTAAAACCATATCCATGTAAAGATTTTATCATTTAGCTGAAACCCAACCAACAACATGAACACAGGAGAAAGTTTCACTAAACTGTCCGTATTACAATGGAGATGTATACACCTGTTTTTAAGTTGCCCTGAACATTTTTTGGGGGTAGAAAGACTGGACATGGATTTCACAAACTATTAATATTTATCCTACTTAGAATAAAGTTATATAGAGCTGAAATAGTTAATTCTCCCATGTGCTGGGATTAAAGTCTCATTGTTGCATTGGCCATGCCTCCTCCTTGCACAGCTAACACTAAATGGCCCAACTACACAGGTGGGGACTAGCAGCCAAGTTGAGATTCTGTAGTTCGGATTTGTATGTTTTGCCCTGGAATCTGCAGTGAGACTTCTTAAATGTAATCTTAGCTTTGGGTGAGTACTCAGAGAGAAGTGGCTAGGATAATATTAAAAAGGCTCTTGGTTTTCTAGCAATTTTATGGGTAGCTGTATTTAACTGGGGTAAGTACAGTAGTAAAATGTCCAAGGAAATGTTACCAGGGTCATACTGAAGAACAATTCAGCATTAAAGCAACATTTGGCTGGGTGAATTTAGGGTACTACTAATTTCATATTTTATTCTGGCACAAAGTTTGTTTCTACAATTAATGTCACGTTTATTCACTCCTTCCCACTATGTACCATTCTTAAAAATGGGGATTATTTTAAAGTTCTCCAAAATTATCAAAACTCAACTTGGAGGGGCTTAGCCTTAAAAATCTAACATAATGTAACACTATTCTAGTTTATCATTACCTTTGACTATGTTCCATTCTTTTTCTTATTATTCATGTTTGTTACTGTGATGACTTTTATAAGCCATTTTGGAACATTCTAAGGGCTGTGAATTGAGAGATAAATGTTTCAGGCAAGTATATTCTATACAAGCTATTCCTTGCATTCATGATTGCTTCTCTTTTCTACTTAAAGAACAGTAATATGGATTTTCATTAATGCTACAATACAGATACATTTGTTTTTACCGTTTTATCCCTGAGACGCTCCCCATGTACAAGAAAATCAGGACAGCCATTTTCTTCCTGGTGAACGACTTTGAAAACGGTGACGCAGCTTAGTCCACCCCCTCCAAGTGGTAACCATCCACCACTTGAGTCATCACGGGTCATCACCACAGCTCGCACACAGGCATAACTATTACTGAAATAGATAAAGGAGAAAAGATAATTAATATCTCCATTCATTTAGTGTACTTTTTACCTAAACCAAGTCACAATGTAGTCATTTCCATAGTTCAAACTATTCTGAATGTTTTATTTGCATACCATAATTATCCACAGAAGATTGGTTCCCAATCTTGGGTCCCCAGATATTCTTGGACTACAACCCTCAGAAATCCTGGCCAGTGCAGCTGGTGGCTTCTGGATGTTTTAATATACGAACATTTGGAAACCCAAGGTTGGGAATCACTGGCTTATACTTTCCAGGAAATTTCCTGCACAGCATTCCTAACTGGTCCAAAATTGTTTAGGAAAGTTCTGTGACACTGTAGTAAGCCCACAGCTAGACAACTAGGTCCTCAAGAAGACAACGGGTATTGAGAGCTGAGGCCCAGAGATAGTGTCAGGAATTACGAATGATACCAATTTGACAATGGATGCCAGCATGAAAACCACGCCATTTACTGACTGAGAAAAAGTTCAAATTTAACAAATCTTGTCTTCCCAAATTCAATGCACAAAGTTGGCTGTGATAGTCTCACATCAGAATGTATGGCAAGAGAGCAATGTTCAGTTCTGGTAACCATGACAACACTTCAGCTGAAATACTCCTGTTTGCATTCAACTGTATATTCTCCAGTTTGGTGAGAAAGGAATCGGCACGGACTGGACAGCAATACCCTACTACGGAAAAGAATAAAGTGATAATAATGCCCACTCATTTGCTTTTTAAGAAGATCCACTTAACTGCCCAGCAAATGTGTGGCTAACTGTTATGAATTTTTCATTAAGTGATTATGGAAGGTCAATATTCAGGGAAAAAAATTAAACATCACTTGGATTAACATCTTATTTAGATTCTTTCCCTATGACAGGTTGATATCAAGGGCCCACTGGAAGGAATTAATGATTAGATGAATTCCTTTCCCCCATGGCTGCTTTTGAGCCACACAGCCTGTCAAACTCACTGCGAATCCTATTCGCTATGCCAAGATGCGTCTCTTCAGCTGCCTTGCATTTGGAGGTGGCCTTCAATCGGTGGAATGTCAAGCCTGGTTGCATGCATTCCGATTCTGGTTGAAGGTGGTATATGCTCCCACAACCAGTTGTTATTTAAACTATTTACAAAAAGATGCCTTTACCAGCTCATGGCACAAGGGATTTACTGACAAATTACATCTCTTAGGCTTCTCTATGGACTTCTTCCTGAGTCAGCCTTACGACAACATTAAGACAATGCTTGTGCAACGCATTAAAGACATAGATCTCCAGTACTCACTAGCAGGTGCAGACAGGACTTGCTCACCAACATACTTTGGTATAAATTTTAACTTTCCAAAGTTACCAAACTATCTATATCAAATCAATGTACCAAGGTATCGTTTTGCCTTCTCAAGGGCTAGGTTCAATTGCTTTCCCTCAGCCTTGTTAAAAGAGCGCTTTAATAACATTCCTTATGGAGAAAGGATATGCCCCTGTGGGGAAGAAACAGTTGAGTCCCTGGCACACACCATTCTACAATGTAGTTTATATGAGTCTGAACGTACCCGTTACCTCTACCCAATAATGTGTAAATGCATTAGTATACCTCCTGCAGACTACCTTAAGTTTCTGCTGTCCGGCGAGAATCAATAAATATCACAGTCAGTGGCTACGTTTCTGTTCTCAGTTTTAAGAATTCGTAAAGTGTTGTGTTAAGACAGATGCAATTCAAGTTTTATATTCCTCTTATCTTCTAATATCTAACTTATTTTGTATATTTTATGTAATGTTTTTTATTCTTGTATTTTTGGGTCTATGACCGTACAATAAACTCAACTCAACTCAACACTTAACTTGAACGTCTTATTAGGGTTGCTGTAAGTAATTTCCGACATGATGGCACATTACAACAACAGGGACTCACATACAATGCATGGTTACAGAGCGGTTTCAGTATCCTCTGACAAAATGCTGTGCTTTGCATGTGCCTCTGTCACAATAAATCTAAGAACTGCTGAACAATCCATAAGAGCAAAGACATGAATAACTGAGCCAACTAAACGTTGAGGGCTTTTTCACTACTAAAACCCTACTAACTAGACCCAATACTATGTTGAATTAGTTTCCTCTTCAGATTTGTGCTTCCATGATGGGAAAAAATCCACATATTCTCCTGTCATTTATAAATAAATAAAATGAAATGATCTATAGTAAAATTTCAAAAAATATCTGGGATTGGCAGGACAATTAAAAGGCCAAAAAGAGTTACAAACTAGTACAATTGCTTGGTTGAGCTTTAAAGAAAATTCTAATTTATATTGAGACAATGAACCCTATGTGGTCATCGCAAATTTCCTTTTGCTTTACTTGTCAAAGAAGAAACTATTTTCTGTTCACCTGGCTTCTTCTGACTTCTATATAAACCATTCCAAATTGTGAAAGATTGTATATAATAAATCTTGTATATAATAAATCTCTCACAGTGGTTGAGAGATTAATTACCATATTGCCATAATCAACTACTTTCAGCTATATTTTCAAAAAAGTCCCTCCCCTTCCCAAGAAAGAAGCTAACTAGAGATGGAAATGAACTGCCAGTTTAGCAGAGAGCCAAACATATCAAAACAGGTGTTCCATGGTTTGAAGCCCCAATGTATTCTTAGGGCAACCTCTTCTATTAAAATGAAATAGCATAATGCTACATTTTTCAAAAATTACAGCTGCAACAAATAAAACACATATTTTCAGTTGCCTTTAAAGCCCTGTTAAAATTAGCCAAAAGGAAACCAGCCATATCTTATTTAGGAGAGACTTCACTGTGGTTGGGGTGATTTCTGAGAATGTTCATCCTCTAGTGCTTGCAAGCCTTTTTAATTTTAGTGGCAGTCAGAGAGAAAGGCTTCCAAAGATTATACTAAAATTCACAGAGACCATGAAGAAGAACCAGATTGCATTTAACAGGGCTTCTCCAGTTTCCCCTCCCTCAATCTGCTTTTGGAGGACTGCTGAAAAATAGGGTAGGTAGCACATGGTATTAGGAGCTGAAGATGCAAAGCAGAGTTGGCTAGAATGGACATGTTGCACACCTGTAACTGCAGTTGTTTGAGTGGTCATCTGTGAATTTGCACATGGGAGTTCATTCTGTATCTGCACAACCACCCTCAGAATCTTTTAAAGCAGTGGTTCCCAAGCTTGGGTCCCCAGGTGTTCTTCTACTAAAACTCTGAGAAGCCACTAGATAGGATGGTTGGGAATTCTGGGAGTTGTGGTCCAGGAACATCTGGGGACTCAAGGTTAGGAACCACCAAGAATGTTATGTGTTATGACACACCTTCTCCACTATGCATGTTCCCCACTAGTATGAACTCCACAGCATAGTCCTACTGGACTACAGTCAAGACTCAATTGATGTTGGTGATGGTGTGCCAGGTGCTGATCTATGGCACTAATCAAGTGGTGTTGAAATGCTGAAGAATTATAGGGCAGTAGATCTTAAGGCTGTGAAAAGTCAAAGCTGCTGCTTGGATTTCTTATCATCAGAGTGCTTAGAAATATTAGTTTATCTGTATCTGGATTGTTGGGCAGACTGTCTAATGTACAGAATGATGTGGGAGGTGGCTTTCGTCCATCTAAGGAGTATCTGGTGGATGTTGAAAGGTATGGACATCTCCAGTAGGGATGGTAGGGCCTTTGGTGAGTTTGTGAAAAAAAGACCATACATTTATCTAAAATATCTATAATTCTTTTGTTGTAGAAGCTATCTATGATATTGTTAGTCCTGGTGTTCTCTAGCCTCTGAGAAAAACACCTGAGATGTTCTCTCAGAGGTGGTTAGAAGGCAACTGAGGGTAGCCCTCAGGGCAGGGAATATTTGTGTGTCCTAACACTTCTTTAGGCTCTAGAATAGAGATGAAGATATTCATATTTGCATACAAATATTAATATCCCTGTGGAGCTGGACACAATGAGGTCTGATTGTCCACTCACACATCTTGCTGCAGCGCCATGCTTCCAATAGTGCCTGGAGACTTCTCTCTTCCTACTTGGCTGGCCACTCAGCAGCTGTGCAGAAGACTTGTCCTCCCACCCCCTGCCTGGAGTGGCCAGCCAAGAAGGAGGAGAGTGGAGCTCTGGGTTCCATTGGAAGGATGAGCAGGACTAGCGCCACAACAGGACACATGAGTGGATGGTATGGTACTAAGGGTCGGACCTTCGTTAGGTCCAGCTGAGTGGGGATATTGGTATATAAATATCCCCATCTCTATTCTAGAAAATTCTGAGGACTTTAATGAAAGTGCATAACGAACCCACATGTGTGATTTCACATGTCCCTGCTTGCATGGAAGAGAAACTAATGCCCAACCCGTAATAAATAGAAAGGAAAAATAATCAATGGTCAAAATCCTGTAAACTGGATTAAAAATAAACCCACTGAATCAATATGGATTTCACAAATCAAGTCCTTAGCAGTGGTCGCCAACGTTGGACCTCCAGATGTTCTTGGACTACATCTCCCAGAAGCCTTTACCACCACCTCTGGTGGCCAGGATTTCTGGGAGTTGGAAATCCAAGAGCATCTGGAGGCCCAAGGTTGGGGACCACTGCTCTATAGGTTCCATTGATTAAAATGGATCTACTCTGAGATTTACTTTAGCATAGCAAATGTAAACTAAGCAAAGCAAAAGGATTTAGCCAAACATTTCCTTACAATCTTGGCCTTGTTAGATCAATTGGATTTGTCGGGTTATTTTCTTTCAGGTTACAAACTTGTTACGCTCTTAAATAAAAATAAAATAAAATAAATAAAAATACATTTTTGCTATTATTACCACTATTCTGTAACACTCACAGTGTTAAAATTGATTATATATAACTTGGACATTTTAGCTTATTTGTCCTCACCCACCAAAAACTGTCAATTACATTAACTTCAAAATGCTAATGTGAAAGCCAGTTTGATGCAATGATTAGCGAAATAGATTTGGATTTGGGCACTGT